AGATAGAGTCTCAAAAAGTTGCCCAGGCTGGCTTCAAACTTGTGATCCTCCTGCCTCAGCCTCCCAAATAGCTGCGATAACATGCCAGGCTTAAAATACATATTTAAATATTTTTAAAGATAGTATTTATTTTGCTTTCTCACAATTCTTTTCATTGCAGTTTTAAAGCAATTTACACATTTAATAACCATTCCTCACAAAATATCTACATGAATGTAGATATTTGAATGTTGACAAAGTAAGACAAAAACTAGGTATGAAAGAACAACGGAATCAGGAATAGAAATGGACTCTTCTAGAATGTAGCTGCGAATGTAGCTCAGTGGTAGAGCATTTACCTAATGTGTAAGGCCCTGAGTTCAACCCCGCAGCACCCAAACATGCCTATGATCTCAGTGACTTAGGAAGTTGAGGCAGGATTCCAAGTTTGAGGCCAGCCTGGGCAATTTAATAAGACCCTGTCTCAAAATAAAAAAAGTCTAGATATATAGCTCAGTGGTAAAGCACCCCTGGATTCAATCTTCAGTATGTGAAAAACAAAAAAAAAAAAAAACTAAAATAATTAAAAGATTATTTAGATCAAATTATATGGATCAGGATTATGATCAAGTATAGTATTCTTTATAATATTTGTTTGTTTTACAATATTTAGATGAACATTTTAAATGTTTCTAAGGATCCAGCTAAGAAACATCATTTTTAGATTTATATTCAATCTAGCTTTTATCACTATAAACAAAATTTTATGGTTATATACCTGTAATTTATGGATGTATTAATGATACAAGTCTTATTAATGATATGAGTCTTATTTGGGAAGAAAAAAAAAGGACCATGTCCAACATCCATTTTGGAAAAGTTAACAAAAAAGAACCAGGTAACCTGTGTCTGGCATATATATACCAGCATTCAGTAAATTGCTGATGAAAGATCCAATGACATCACAATCAGAGATTTCCCCAACTCCTATACAGTCACTGCTGCTATTTTTCTACAGTGAGCTGGGGATGTACCTCAGTGATACATCATGTGCCTATCTTGCTCAAGGTCCTGGGTTCAATCCCCAGCATGGCAGAATATTTTCTCAAACTATGTTTTCTTCTATTCAATTTTAATACCTATTCCCTTTCAAGGGAGAAGCACAGTTTGTGTTTTCAAACTTGAAGGGCCTAGAGGATACAGTTTGTCCAGTGCTTTTCTTTATGTGTACTAGGGATTCAACACAGGGCCTCAAATGTGCTAGGCAAGTGCTTTACCAATGAGCTACATCCCTTGCCCTCTGATTATAACAAAATTAACCTGGCACAATGCACCTTCCACTCTGGCACAAATAACATGGTGGGAGGTCAGAAACACTTTGCTGGAACAAAGGGTGCCACTGGCCTGGTCAGATTCCCTAAAATGAGTCCTGCATGGACACAGTCCACATTTTTCTTTCTGAGAATGCTATATCTATCTGTACTTCTTTATATGGAATCTTGCTCTTGGTAGTTTCTGGCCCAGGAACAAACCACTGAAGCTTCTAGAAGACAGTTTGAAAAGAAATGCTGCAAGGCTGAGAAGCTAAGAGAGTTGACCCTATGGACACCAAAAGTACAAATTCTCTTTTCATGAGTAACTATAAAGAGAATGTTTAAATAAATAAGTTCTAAGCTATATAAAACAAACCAAGTATAATTTGCCAAGACTTAGAATAAACCTGATGTAAAATTTGAGATGTTATCAAAATTATTATTTTGTTGTTGTCATTTTTGATACTAAGAATTTAATCCAGGGGCACTTTACCATTGAGCTACATCCCCAGCCCTTTTAATTTATTTCTTTTTTAAATATTATTTTTTAGTTGTAGAAGACGCAATACCTTTATTTTATTTATTTTATGTGGTGCTGAGGATCGAACCCAGGGCCTTGCATGTGCTAGGCAAGTGCTCTACTTTTGAGCCACAACCCCAGCCCTGGACACAATATCTTTATTTTACATTTATGTGGTGCTAAGGATTGAACCCAGTGCCTTGTGCATGCTAGGCGAGCACTCTACCACTGAGCCACAACGTAGCCCCTGACCTTTTTGAGACAGGGCCTCACTAAATTGCTTAGGTTGGCCTCCAACTAGCAATCCTCCTGCCTCAGCCTCCCAAATTGTTGAGGCTGGCCTATAACTTATGATCTTCCTGCCAGAGCCTCCCAAGTTGCTGGGATAACAGGTGTACACCACCACAGCCCATTTTTTTTTTTTTAAACATGAAACAGAAAAGCACCACAATTTCTAATATCAAGGCCCAACCATAGCTATAACAATCACAATCTAATCTGGGCCAAACATTTACTTCTACCTATATTTCCTCTTCAGTTCTCATTGGAGGTAAATGCCTCAGTATTTATTGATGATGTTGGGGATTTTATTTATTCATTCATTCATGGTGCTGGGAATTTAATCCAGGGGTACTCTACCACTGGGTTACAATTCTCTTTATTTTTTGAGACAGGGTCTTTCCCAGGGTGGCCTTGAACTTGTGATTTTGCTGCCTATTTGCTTACACATTTTAGAGTAAATAGATAATGTGTGCTTTTAGCAGGGCTCGGTGGTGCACACCTCCCAGCAGCTCGGGAGGTTGAGACAGGAGGATGGTGAGTTCAAAGCCAGCCTCAGCAATGGTGAGGTGCTAAGCAACTCAGTGAGACCCTGTCTTAAATAAAATACAAAAGAGGGGAAGTGGCTCAGTAGTTGAATGCCCCTGAGTTCAATCCCCAGTCCCCCACCACCACCCAAAAAATTAATGTGTGCACTTAAATCATTAAAACTTAGCTGCCTTAGTGATACTACAACTTCCAAAGAGATCTAAAAGGTGAAATTATGATTGTAGCACAGCTTCATCAGGTTTTTTATGAAAGTGCTCCAAAAACTCATGGTTATGGGGCAGAAGATCCGTGGTTGACACAATCTTAGAAGTAATGTAATCTGGTTTTTCAGTATTATATTCACTCAAAAAAAAAAAAAAAAATAGCACTTCATGCCTCTTTTAGAGTATTTTTTTTTTCTCCTATGCTGTGGACTGAACCCAGGGCCTTGTACATGCTAGGCAAGTGCCATACCACTGAAGCCACATTCCCCAGCCCTGGTCATTTTTAGTTGTAGTCAAATAACGAGACTGTAAGTAGTTCTTTTCTCACAGGCAAACCAAACAATGAAGCATTAGAACACTTGCAATAGATAGCTTCAAAACTCTACTTTGCTGCATTTCTTTGGAACAGCATGGGCTTTCCATCATGAACTCTGAAAATGTTGCTGACCCCTTGTGTTCAAGGCCCTGGCTGCAACGGTCTTTCCACTTTGCTGTGTGAGAAGGGAGGAAAACTTCAGAAGGCCACATTCTAGGGGGTTATCTATAAGAGACATATTTTTAATTTGCTTTTTGTGACTTGGTGAAATATTAAATACTAGTTTCTCCATTTTCTAAAATCTTTTTACTTCCAGGGCCAGACAGAATGGAAAATTACATCTTGCAGCTTGTTCAATGGGGTCTGTGGGAATGCTGACAGTTTTAATTTACATACTAATGTTGGAAAACATTCCGAAAGGCAAAGCACTCTTTGGTTTTAGGAAAGAACAGAGTAAGGGAAAAAAAAAAAAAAAAAACATGGACAGAAAAGTAGTTGAAAGGTTCTAGGCGAAATAGTCTGGATTTATTTGTTCTGTAATTAATTCAAGTTATCCATCCTTCACTGTAGTGAGATGCCATTTCAATGGTATAGCTGCAGTCTTTTCTCTTGCTAAAGATGACCTTTCTTTGGCTGAATGTCTTCAACAGAAGGTCTAACAATCCATTTGTCCCAACTCCAACTCTTTCCTGGGAACAACTCCTTCATCCCTCAGTTTCTTCCTGAAAAACCATCCACCTAGAATACCTATTCACCACTCAAGAGGATAAAATAAAACACTCATTTGGTTGGTGGCTTGCTCATTGGAACTTATTTCTGCTTCAGCTGTAGTTCTTTGAGAAATACAGGAATTTTTGCCAAAATATTAGCCCAACCAAAGAATGTTGAAAAATTAGCTGCCTTAGTGATACTACAACTTCCAAAGAGATCTAAAAAGTAGCAAAAGGTGAATAGGAAACATAGTTTACAAGTCATTTAATAATTGTAAATACAGATTTTCAACTTAATATTTGATATTCTGAATATCAAAATTGTGAAACAAAATCTGTCATATGGCTCTTGGAAGAGCTTTTATTTTTTTTTTAATTTTTATATTTTTGGTGCTGGGGATCAAACCCAGGGCCTTGTACATGCAAGGCAAGCACTCTACCAACTGAGCTATATCCCCAGCCCCTCTTGGAAGAGCTTTTAAATGGTAGATTAACTCCAGAACTTTTTTTTTTCTTATTAAGAGAGGGGAATGCACAGTAATCCTATGAGGTAGATCTTATCCCATTGAACAGAAAAGAAAGTGAGACTCAAAAAATGAAGTAACCAACAGAAGGTTATACAGCCATGATTGTGTCAGTGTCTTGCTGGCATTGAAAACCTGGCCTCCTGTAAAGGAAGATGATTTTAAATTGAATTCACTAATGTGATTAATGACAAACTATTTCACTGATGTTGGTAATAAAGGTTTAAGGGGAACTAAGATTAAGGACCCCAGGTTCACGTGAGTTTCTTTCAAATGCAAAATATTCCTTATTTTCCTAGTTTATTAGGGGGAAGGTACAGGGAAGAATCTTGCTACCACTTAAAAAACAATCAAACATAGTAATTCCATTCCTAGGTCTATACCCAAAGGAACTGAAAACAGGTATTCAAACAAATAACTGTACACAGATGTTCACAGCAGCACTATTCACAACAGCTAAAAAAGTGAAAACAACCCAACCCAGGTATTCATAGATACATAAATAAACAAAATGTGGTACTCAGCCACAAAAAGAAATAAAATACATGCTCCATGTGGATTAACCTTGAAAATACACTAAGTAAAAGAAGCCAGACACACCAAAAGGTCACTTATATGATTCTATTTACATGGAATACACAGTTTGAGATAAAACCCTAGAGCAGAGAGCAGGCTAATGGTTGCTGCAGGGCCGGGAGGAGATGGGATGGAGGATATCTGCTTGCTAGGTTGAAGGTCTCCTTTGGGGGTGATAAAAATGCTTCCGAACTAGAGAATGGTGGTGGCCGTACAAGACTGCAAACATGCCAATTGCCACTGAACTGGACATTATCAAATGATGGAGTTGTGGCACATGCCTGTAATCCCAGCAACTCAGGAGGCTGAGGCAGGAGAATCACAAGTTCAAAGACAGCTTCAGCAACTTGGTGAGGCAAGCAATTTAGCAAGACCCTGTCATCTCAAAATAAAAAAATAAAAAGAACTCGGGATGTTACTCAGTGATAAGTGCTCCTGGGTTCAATCCTTAGTACAAAAAAAAAAAAAAAAGGTGACTTTTATGTTATACAAATTTCACCTCCATTTAAAAAGCACAGAAAAAAGAAATGATAATCAAAAAGTTCTAGATGAATAGCCAGAAATTTTTCTAATTTGTCACAATTTCATTGAATTTTTGATGGTCATAAACTAGTATATATATAAAAAAATAACACATTAGCCAGGCATGGTGATACATGCCTGTAGTTCCAGCTACTCAGGAGGCTGATGCAGGATCACTGAAGCACAGGAGTTCAAGATTACAGAGACCCTGTCTCAAAAACAACAAAAATCATTAAAAGTTCCAAATAAGGCATCAATGTAGCTGAGGTCCTTTAATATGTTCAGTTGGCAAAGCACCTAGTAGAGTTTACAGTATACAAGAAGTGTTAAAAATGCTTTTAATTTGTATAAAGTGCAAAGAAACACTACTGAGAAACATATGAAAACATATAAAATGGCCAAAGCTAACGTACATGCACAGGGACACAGCTATATATTTGCTACTGCCTAGACTCAGACACCCAGGAGAGAAGCTTGCTTTTCCTCCTAACTTATTTTGTGTCTCTCCAAAAACTGAAGAGTTGATAGTAGCTTACTGTTGCCACCCTCTGAGTTTGGCAAGAGGTTATACACAGGGAGGGTTTATAGCTGCCATTTCCTATTGCTTCCGTAGTGACACAGCACGGGAGGTTAAGTTACTTCAGGAGCCTCAACAGGGCTCCCATTGTGCTGAGTTTGAAATTCAGGGATACAATGGGCCCCATTCATGCTGAGCTGAGCTCTCAGGCTGGGGAACTGCAAGGCTGGGGATCTGGATCCTTAATGCCCAGCTAACTTTGGGTTGGGACATAGAGTTTTCATAGACACTGACTTGCATCAACCCAAGTCAATTATTTTTTAATTAAAAAACAGTACAGAATAAAGAAATAAAACTCATGGGTGATAAACTGGGAGTCAGGACACTTAAGTCTTATCCCCAGTCTCTAATGTGACTTTCAACAAATTACTTGGCTCTTACTGTTTCAATTTCCTAGTTTCTAAAATGAAAATGGATTTCTAAGATCACTTAGACTCTGAATTCTATGAATATATATGAAGTCTAGTGATATTGCAATGTTCATTCTAAAGATAAGTTATGAACAGAAAAGAATCATTAGCTCATATCTTCCCACTCACTATAAGCACTTAAAAATAAGGACCCTTAAAAAAAAAATAAGAAGTTCATTTTCTGTTCTGTCTTAAACAGACAAATCATAATGAATAAAGTTCAGTGGGTCCCAATGTCCCAACAAGTCCAGGGTCACTCAAGCAGGAAGCCCTATACAAAGTAGAATGATGAAGAGTATAAACAGAAGCCATAGTATGTTTCCATGTCACCAGTTCTTGGGATATTAATGCATTTTGAGACTCTCTTTTTTTGCAATGACTCAAAATCCTCAGAAGAAAAAACACTATTTACAGTAAGAGTGTGATCAATATCAGAAGCTTCCACACTGTCATTTTTTTGCTTTTTCAACCTCAAAACTTGCTAGGGCAAGAACTTTGTCTCCAGAGCCTAAAGACAAAGACACATAATAAAAAAGATTATTTCAAATGCATTTACAATTTCAGATAAAGAGCAAAAAGTTATCACACAGATATTGAAAGAAAAAAATAGAATTAGCTTTCATTATCAATTCATTAACCCCTATACTGCCATTCCTATTTCCTTCTCTGCATAAACAATCCAGCCACAAAGAATGGATTGTTGGCTATAAACCCTTATAAGCTTCTAGATATGAAACAGAATATGTAACATTTTAGCATACTTTTAGTTACATCTAGCTCATGATTATTTTAAAATGTTAGACTACAAAGCTGTACGTAAGGGTGCACACCTATAGAGCGCTCAGGAGGCTGAGACAGGAGGATTGCTTGAACCCAAGAATTTAAGACCAGCCTGGGTAACACAGCAAGACCTAATCTCCAAAAAACAAAACAAAACTAAACAAAAAAATCTTATTTTTAAAAATTAGAGTTTATTTCCCAGTAAAACACTGGGAAATAAAACCAATACAAAGGATTTGTAAAGAAGACAACTCTGGTGTCACTCTAAACTCAAGAAAAGGTCATGTTGTCTCAACTCTGCTCTCTGTCAGTCTGGAATAGTATATGTGTCCAGTTTTCAGGAATATGAGAACAAGGGCCTGGGGGTGTAGCTCAGGGGTAGAGTGTATGCTTAGCATGCAAGAGGACGTGGGTTCAGTCCCTGAGAAAGGAAGGGAAACAAGAGCACTCACCAAGGTCAGTGGAGACTTTCTCAAACTGGCTGAGTATGGCCCCTGCATTTGCTGATAAGAAGGCCTCATCATCTGTAGTCAGCTAAACAAAATGAAACAAAGCCCAGTGGAGTAGGTGTAAATGTTACGAGCAGGTTCTAAGAACCACAGTTAAGAATGTCTTAGGTCCACAAACTAGATCGCAGGCCAAGAATTTCTGTAACAAATACTTAACATTTCTCTTTATACCTAATAAATAAAATTAAATACTGGTACCTTCTCTCCAAGTTTTCTGAGAGCTGTTAGTATCTCTACTTTCTGTTGAGTGTACAGGTCTCTCTCCAGCTTTCCTACCATCAGATCTCTATCCATCTATAATGAGTGAATGCAAGGCAAATAAGTGAAAAACATTCTGCGCACAAAATCTAGCTTTTCAGGTGTACTTCTTAAAAAAAAAAAAAACACAACTCTTTAGTTCATTAATATTATAAAGAACTATAGAAACAATCCAAGGCAAACATGATGAAATGCTTTTATGGAGTTTTAATAAGCTTTAATAGTAATCATAACTACTGTCTTAGTTATCAACCCTATTGAAGGTTAGCAGTAAGTCAACAGCTTCCTTTGGAGAAGAGCTATCCTTTAAGAAATTCCTTATGTTACACATAACCTCACTACCAAATACACTAATAGCATGTACCACATATACACTGGTACTTTTCTAAGTGCTTTTATTTTTTTTATTTTTTTACTTAAATTTTATTTTTATAGTGCTGAGGATAAATCTGTATTTTGATCTGGATCATGGCTCTGTGGTAGAGTGCTTGCCTAGCATGTATGAGACACTGGGTTCAATTCTTAGTACAAATTTTTCAATTCTTAAATAAATTTTTAATTTGTTTTAGTTGTCGATGGACCTTTATTTTATTCATATGTAATACCAAGAGTTCTACTATTGAACTACTTGCCTGACCCCCCCTTTTTTTTTTTGATATAATGTCTCACTAAATTGCCCAGGCTGGCCTCAAACTTGAGATCCTCCTGCCTCAGCCTCCCCAGTAGCTGGGATTATAGCATGTATCACACCACTGGCTGTTCCCAGTCCTATTTTTGAAAAATTTATTTATGTATTTATTTAGGTACTAGGGATAGAATTCAAGGACTTACACATGCTAGGCAAGCACTCTACCACTGAGCTACACTCCCAATCCTTATGTTTTTGGTTTTTTTTTTGAAACAGGATCTCTTATGTTGTCCAGGCTGTCCACAAATTCCTGAGCTCAAGTGACCCTCTTGCTTCAGCCTCCTAAATAGCATGGATTATAGATATATGCCATTGTGTCAGGATTCTAAATGCTGTCACATATAGTATTTCATTAAATCCATAACAACCACAAGAGGTAGGCACTATCTTCACTTTTTTACAGACAGGGAAACTAAGGCACTAAATGAAATAATCTGGCATAGGTCACATACCCTAGTATGTGAGGCAGGGATTTAAATTCAGCCAAACTGATCCAAATCCTGTTTTATCACTGCTAAAGAATTACCCATATTTGCAAATAATTTGTTAGCCCTTTATATCCAAGTCCATAAACAGACATCTGGATATTATCAGGTTTTCAAAGATGCCTGAAATTCTTAGATAGCACAGCACTGAATGTGCATGGAAGCAATGCTGTTAATGAATTCTCAGTGGGATTTCAAGTTAGAAAACCAGAAGCAAACGGTAAAACATTAAAGGAGGAGTAAGAAGTCAGAGGAATTTAAACTGCTATAAACTTGAGAAATCTGCATTATCAACCATAATTGCTCAAGGTACTAATTTTGTCAAAAAATTGTCAATGATGGCTCTAAAATCAACTGTAGACTATTACAATGAGCAAATTCTCAGACTAGGAAGAAAAGTAGTGATGGATCAATTTAAAGAAACTTTACCTCTGCTAATCTTGTCCGAAGCTGACCTGGTTGTTTCTTTGCAAACAATCTGATGACCTCTGGAGTTTTAAAGGCCTGGCTGATAGCTGCCTGAATAGCCTAAAAACACAGGAAGGCAAAAACCAAGGAAAATATTACAATGAATCAGATTTGCAATAATTGAGTGATGGCATTTTTTTTGTATACTGGGGCTTGAACCCAAGGGCACTTAACCACTGAGCCACATTCCTCACTCATTTTTTAATTTTGAGACAGAGTCTTGCTAAGTTACTTAGGCCTCCCTAAATTGCTGAGGCTGGCCTTGAACTTAGGCTCCTCCTGCCTCAGCCTCCTAACCAACTAAGCATGCAGGAGTGAGCCACCATGCCCAGCCTAACTGATAGATTTTTTATTAATAGGTCTTTGTTCATCAAACACTATTACAAAATCAGTTTTCATTTGCTATTTCTATGCATGTCAGTGGCGCCAGATACATAGCTAAGTGAAGATCTGAAAGGATATGCTGTTTTATGCATTAAGTAGAAAATCATGGAGAAGTTACACCCAAAAAAGTATACATTTTCTATCTGAAATATATTTATTTACCAGGAAAAAACAAACAAACAAGCGTAAGTTATGCTCACCAGCTGCATTCCACTCAGTTCATCTACCAGAGTCATATTTCCAGACATGATCTTCTTCAGTGAATCATTGAATTCACTTAGTTGCTCCAGAGTTTCCTTTTTGGTTTCTTCATATTCATCTGTATCAAGTTCTTCTCTGAAGTACAGTGAAAATCATAAAGCAGAAAAATAACAAAGTTCCAAGTGAAAAAAGCAATCTTAGTACTTGTATACTAGAGGAAAGCTGAAGGTAAATATCAAAATGCTAACGATTGGGGCTGGGGTTGTGGCTCGGTGGTAGAGCGCTCACCTAGTGTGTACGGAGCACTGGGTTTGATCCTCAGCACCACATAAAAATAAAATAAAGGTATTGTGTCCAACTACAACTAAAAAAACAAAAAAATTTAAAAAACACTGATGATTACTGATATGAATGTGTCTAGACAGCTGTAAGGGTAATTTCTTACAATCTGATTATTTTGATAATGATTTTTTTTTTCTTTTTCTTTTTGGTGTTGGAGTTAGAACCCAGGGCCAACAGCATGCATTCTACCACTGAGCTACACCCCCAACCCCTAAACATTTTTCATTTACCAAAATAGGACACACTTAACAAACTACACACCATCTTCCCCGTAGGCAGTCAATGGTATCACTTGAACAAAGCCAAGCCTTAGTTTATCTATAATGCTTTGGGTAATTATAGTACCTACCTAATAAGGTTGCTATGAGGTATTAAATGTGATAAGCAAAGTTCTGGCATATATAGTAACAGGTACCAGATAGTTTTGTTTTGTCGTACTGGAAATTAAACCAGGGGGTGCTCTACCACTCAACTATAGCCCCAGCCCCAGTCTCAGCCTTGCCACTTTTAAAAAATTTTCATGCAGGGTCTCACTACGTTGCTGACATTGACCTCAAACTTGTGATCCACCTACCTCAGCCTGTGGGGTTACTGGGATTACAGGCGTGTGCCTCGGCACCTACCAAGTAGCTGTTGCTATCATCATTAATGGTAGTAAACATTTTGTGTATACTACACAATAATAGCAATGCAGTACTTGTCATCTTAGTAAGAAATTATTTTAATTCACCAAGAAAGTCATTTATTATGTTTTTTTTAAACAAGCAAAGTACAGATTTATTTTATTTTTAATTTGTTTTAGTTGTCGATGGACCTTTATTTTATTTTTATATGTAGTACTAAGATTTGAACCCAGTGTCTCACACATGCTAGGCAAGCACTCTACCATGGAGCCATGACCCAAATCAAAGTACAGATTTATTGAAGGTGAAGGTGAGAGTAGAGTGGAGTGGGTCAAGTGAGAAAGAGACCCGAGGCCCCAGTGTCCAGAAATCAGTGTCATGTGCTGAGCTGTGATGCCTTCTCTTTCCTATATGGCTTATTAAATGTTTACTACAAGTAATAACAGCTCCTACTTATTGAACTTCCACATATTGAGCACCTACTCTGGGCTGAGCATTGTGTGGTCCCCCTTCATTTGTAATACCAACAACAACCTTGTAAGGCTGTCAAGAACTTTCTGGTTTTTTAGGGGGCTGGGGTTGTGGCTCAGAGGTAGAGCACTCTCCTAGAATGGGTGAGGCCCAGTTTCATATTTAGCATCTCATAAAAATAAATAAAATAAAGGTATTGTGTCCAACTACAACTAAAACATAAATATTAAAAAAAAAAAAAAAAACAAGCTTTCTGTTTTTTATTGGTTTGCTTTTGGTACTGGGGACTGAATTCAGGGTCTTGAGAATGCTAAGCACCCACCCTACCACAGAGATATGCCCCCAGCCTAGACTTGGTCCTTTGAGCAGTTAAGGCTGAAACCACCCACCAGGCAGGTCTATTTTAAATACTAAAGACAAGGTAAGTGTTACTATTTCCACTTCAAGGAGGTTAAATATTTTGCCCAAGTTCACATGCACTTAGTAATTACTTGAAAGACACCCACATCCTAGGCTTTATGACTCCAAGGCCTGCACTAAGTTTACTGCTACAACAAAGCACTGTGAAAAACACTACCGGGGAAACCAAAATCACACATGGGCCTGCATCCATGGAGCTTGTAATCTAACTGCAGAGAAAGGTCATTTTATAACATAACAACATACAATTATACTATTACCTGCATTCTTCCAGATCTTGTAATTGCTGCATTAGTCTATCCAACTGCTCTTCTAAATTCTGCTTTAATTTGCTTGTCTCCATCTTTCCTCTGGAAGCCATTTTATTCTCTATGTAGAAGAGTAAATCCACATCACAGTATATTTGGTTATTCGAAGAGATTCAACATACCAGTGCCATTTGTTTATTTATTTATCGTACTTGGGATTGAACCCAGGGTTGCTTTCCCATTAAGCTATACCCTCCAGCCCTTTTTACTTTCTTATTTTAAGACAGGGTCTTGTTAAGTTGCCCAGGCTGGCCTTAAACTAGTGATCCTCCTGTTTCAGCCTACAGTAGCTGGGATTACAGTCGTGCAGCAGAGCAGTTGTGATTTAAAATTAATTAATGCTACCTGAGGGATGGGGCTGTAGTGCAGTGAGAGTGCCTGCTTCAGCATTTGTGATACCCTGGGTTTGATCCCCAGCATCCCCACCCACCTCTGAATCCTATTGAAATTTTGACAAATTACATTAAAATAAAAGATGAATATGGAAAAAAACTGCATTCTTTTTTTGGGGGGTGGTGCTACGGGGGATTGAACTCAGAGGCACTCAACCATTGAGCCATATTCCTAGACCTATTTTATATTTTATTTAGAGATATGGTCTCACTGAGTTGCTTAGCACCTCACTGTTGCTGAGGCTGGCTTTGAATTTCTTGATCCTCTTGCACCTGGCAAAACCTGCACTCTTGAAATTTGTGAATTTTTTTGTTTGTTCGTTTCTTTTTTTGTTGCTGGAGACTGAACTTGGCACCTTGTACATGTTAAGCAAGAACTCTATCACTGAGCTATACCTCTGGCCCTGTGCTTTTTTTCTGTTTTTGGGGGGTGGGGGAAACTTGAGTTTTTCTTTCCAGAAACATATTGCTTCATTTACCTAGTTTTTCTTTTTAGTTATACATGGACACAATACCTTTATTTATTATTTAAAATGTGGTGCTGAGGATCAAACCCATAGCCTCACACATGCTAGGCAAGCGCTCTACCACTAAGCCCCAGCCCCAGCCCCTAGTTTCTTTTTTTTTTTATCATAGTTTTTAAAAAAAGGTGTTGTTTTATTAAAATAGGCTTTGAGCATTGGCTATTCTTAGATATTTTGTATTTTTTGGTAACATTAGAAAGAGTTTTTTTATTGTAATTACTTTTTGTTGTTGCTGGTGATTCCACCCAAGGCCTCACACATGCTAAGCATGCATTCTACCACTGAATTATACTTCCAACTCCATATCTGATTGTTGATAATGTAGAGGAAAGCTATCAATTTTGGTGTGTTGATATTGTATCCAATAGCTATAGCATTTAAGTTTCCATTCATAAAATTAAACTTAATTCCTTTCAGGGAAAGTAATTATTTTGCTTAATATTAAGTGTAAGGACTCATCAAAAACTTAAATCCAAAATGCGGCATGGTGGTACATGCCTATAATTAACAGGGGTGCTGAGGCAAGAGGATCACGAGTTCAAGGCCAGCCTGAGCAATTCAGCGAGACCCTCAGCAACTTAGAAAGACCCTGTTTCAAAATAAAAAGAGCTGACTTTACCTATCAAGTGCTTGAGTAGTATACATCCTCCAATTTACTCCCTTTCTCTAATCTCCTAATTTTCATAAATTGCTTACAACAGGTCCAGTTTTCTGATTGAGAAATTTATTTTTAGGTGCTTATTTCTTTTTTTTTTTTTAAATATTTTTTAGTTGTGGTTGACACAATACCTTTATTTACTTATTTATTTTTTATATGGTGCTGAGGATCGAACAACAGCACTCTATCACTGAGCTACAACCACAGCCCCATTAGGTGCTTATTTCTATAGCTCAATTACATTGATTTTTATTTGCATTCAGTTGCTTTTCCATTTTTAAATTATTTTAATTGATGACTTTTGTTCATTATATTTTTACAGTATGGCAAGTGGTATTATTTGTAGTGTCAATATGAAATTAAAAAAAAATAAATTTAAATTGAAAGTCAAAAAAAATTAAAAGGGCTGGCAGGCAAGTTGGCACAGGCCTGTAATCTTAGCAACGTGGGAGCCTGAGGTAGGAGGATTGCAAGAGAGCAGCCTAAGTGATTTAGTAAGGCCCCAAGCAACTTAGAAGACCCTGTCTCAAAATAATAAGTTTAAGCGGGCTGGGGATGTGGCTCAAGCGGTAGCGTGCTCGCCTGACATGTGTGCGGCCTGGGTTCGATCCTCAGCACCACATACAAACAAAGATGTTGTGTCCGCCGAAAATTAAAAAATAAATATTAAAATTCTCTCTCTCTCTCTCTAAAAAAAAATAGTTCTTTAAAAAAAAAATAATAAGTTTAAGAAAAGGTTTGGGGATGTGGCTCAATCCCAGGTACCAAAAAATAAATAAATAAATAAATAAATAGGGCTAAGGCTATACAGTTCAGTGGCAAAACAACCTGAGTTCAATCAACAATACCAAAACAAAATAAACAAAAAACTTAAATCCTTAATTTATTATAGCATTTAAAATGTTACTATAAGTTAGCATGTCAATATCTAGTGGAGAGGATCTTTATCTCATATTCAAAATAGAATGTAATCAATGACAATCTAGTCTCACTTCCCATTTATTTAGTGGTATGTGCTGGGGACTGGAGCCAGACACTCATGAATGCAAAGCACACATCCTACAATTCATGATCACTTCACCCTTCTCTTCTGAATCTCCACCTTTTTCTAAGTATTAAGTCTAGCTCATAAATTTTTCAAGGTCACCTACTGGATTTCCTTCCACTCATTAGGCTGTGGATTATTTGAGCATTGGGATTGTATCTTTCCTTTCCAGTATAATCCTGGATAAATAATTAGTAAGCAAATAATGAGAAATTATTGCTTCTTCCTCTGTACTCCACATTATACTGTCTATTAGCACTTATTTTTGCTATAAAATATGATTTTATTATAACACAATGTTTATTTGTCTAGCTTCCTCTTCTGACTAAATTCCAGAGAGCAGAAAACGAGTCAGATTTCTCTCTTAACCTTCTCAGCACCTAATACAGAACAGACATTTAATGACTGAGTCAAGTATAAAAGGGCTCAATTTTTATTGATGTATTTACTTATTGTGGAGATGGGGATTGAACCCAGGGCCTGACAAACACTATGCAAACACACTACCACTGAACTACCCACCTCCCCAGCCCTTAGAATTTTACTTATTTATTCATTCATTCATTCATTTTGGAGCTTGAATACAGTGGTGCTTTACCACCGAGCTGTATCCCCAGTTCTTATTTTTTTGGTATTGGGGGTTGAACTCAGATGTGCTTTACCACTGAGTTACATTCCCAGACCTTTTTATTTTGTTTTGCTTAAAAAAATTTTTTTGAAACAGTATCTTGCTAAGTTGTTGAGGATCTCACTACTTTGCCGAGGCTGGCCATAACCTTGTGATCCTCCTGCCCCAGCCTCCGGAGTCGCTCAGAGGCATGTGCCACAACACCCAGCTCTCAACGTATTTTAATGATGCCAAGCTGTTCTTACTAATTTCGGGAAAATAGGGGCACTTGAAAAGCCTCATCTTTATGGGAGATTTATCCCATAAAGATTTAACCCGCTGGCACCATCTAGTACTGAATGAAGGTGGTGCACTTTTACTGACACTACAGAAGGGGCTCTCAAGTACTGTCCTTCATGCTCACCTGGCTGTTAAGGCTGAGCACCTCACCGTTCTGACGGTCTCAAATTGCATAAACCTCCAATTCTTGAAGTTCCAAATGTCATCAACTTGAAGAAATCGAAACTTCATCAGGACAATAGGTTCAGAGTTCAAACCACCTGGGGGTGGAGCTAGCTAGAGAAAAGTACAGTTAACCTGCGGTTTATTGCTGTGCACGAACGCGGCCTAAAGCAGTCCAGACTGAGCACTGGGGCAGCCGGGGCAGCCAGGGCACCCGACACGCCCCGCGGGAAACTGTCAAACGCCGAAGCCCCGAAAAGCCGAGGGCGCTGAGCTCGCCCCCTGCGGCTGGGCGGGAGCAGCGCGTGTCGCACCCCCACCAGCCCGGCCAGGCCGACGATCCGACCACCGCCGACCCCAGCTCCCCGCAGGCACTTGAAGCTCCGGCGTTTAGGTCCCGCGGGCCGGGATGATCAGGCCCCGGGTGCCCCAGAGGCGGCCACGAACCCGCCGCCCCCGAAACTCTCCTCGACCCTCCCCAATCAGAAGCGGACAATCTCCTCAGCACCCCTTCCCCCACCCCGGTGCCCTTTCGGCCTCCCGCGAACGTACAGATCGGGGAGTTTGGAACCAGGGGCCCCGCCTACCTGAGGGCCCGGCCGGGCGGACCGCACAGGAAGAGCACTTCCGCCAGACGCACGCACTTCCGGCTTCCTGGAACCAATGAGAGTGCGGCCGCGGTGTCCTCCTGTGTGGCGTCCGGGCAGCGATCCTCTCCGGGAAGACTGGGTCCGTTATGGCCGTGAGAGCGTGGTAAGCCCCCGACCCTCAGCCCCTGGGCTCCGCGGGAGAGGCAGCCCGAGACTCCTTCTTGTCCGGGCAGTGGGGAATGCAATCATGTTCACACTTTGACCATTATCTTCTTCTGTGGAACCCAAACTTGGTAAATTTGCCTCTGACCTTCACCTTGGGGCGGAAATCTCCCCTTCCAGAAGCGAGGCGAGGGCAGGCACCTGGGCTTGGCTGGGGCGGAGGAGGCGGCCCTCCACCGTGGAGATTGCCCTTCCTTCCAGTCTGTGAAAAAGCCGGGTCCACTTTCCTGAAGGCAATTTGAGACGCAGGGCTCTAGCTGTTGGGCAGCACTTTAAAAATTACCCAGAAATGGGTGTCCAGGGGAATTCCCAGAGTGGGGGGACCCTGGACTCAGGACACGGGTCCTGGACGTTCCTGGAGCAAGAGCTTCAGCGCTGTCAGTAAAACAGAGGTTGATTTAGGAAAGCAAGGAGTACAAACTCAAGGAAGAATGCGGGCCATCTGGAAAGTGGGACTCGTTTGGAGGTTCCCAACTCTTGAAGGAAACTTGGTGAGGCATGGGTATGGGAAGGTGTGTAAAGATGACATCAGTCCCAGGATCTCAAGATGGTTTATGACACTCTGGTCATTCTCAGGATGCTCTGGCTTAGGTGGTCTCTCCATTATCTTAACTGATAGATAAGGGTTGGAATATCCCCTAAATTATAGATTTCTTAAAATGTTCTTAACCTGAAAATTTCTCTTAATATATTTATTGGTGGGCTAATTAGCAGTGCACACGATTATTTTCATAAGTGGGTGAACTAGCAGTAATCTTAAGATTTACAGATTTCCCCGAAATTTGGGAGTAACAGACCTGGGAGAGAGACTGTCTTGGGGAATGACAGACCTGGAAAAGTATGCAGTATTTCCGAATTAAAATTTTATTTCCATGTCCTTCATGTCTCCTTCCTACCTTTTTTTTCTTTTTCTCTCGTACTTCTATCATACTGTAATCCATAGGGCATTACAGCAAAACTGTCTCCAGGGTACAGTTATTAAATTTTGTATGTCAGCCTCTAAGGGCAAACTTCCAACTTTGAATATCATAGAACTCTGCGAAATGAAATGTTTCTGTAGGATTTGTCTAATCATAGAGTTCCTTATTACAATCAGTTTTTCCTCAGTTACAATTTGGATATGAAACCATTTTTCTAGACCATATTTTAGCCTACCTTGCAAAACACTTCAGATTCAAAGGAAACACCTGTTAAGTTAAAGCGATTATCCTTAATTTTTGGTATGTTAATGTATTCGAAGATGTCAACATTTGGGGTAAAATTCAACTCTCAGTGACAAATAGTGCCAAACAAAACAAAACTGGAAAGTATGCTTCCTTGTTTTACACATTTGAAAAATTTGCTGAATAAACCTTTGCTCACAGTGCACTTCTCTTAATTTTATTTACTTGTTTATTTGTTATTTATTTCTTGAAGTACTAGGATTTGAGCCCAGGGGTTCTTTACCACTGAGCTACATCCCCAGCCCTTGTTATTTTAAGATAGGATCACTAAGTTACTAAGGCTGCCCTTGAACTTTGTGATCCTCCTGCCTCAGCCTCCAGAGAGGCAGAGATTACAAAACTGCACCACAGTGCCTGGCTACTTCCCTTAATTTTAATAATGATGGTAAAGTTTTCTATTCAGGTATTCATGCTAGTTTGAGTGTGTGCAATCTTGGAAGGTATGCAGGAAAGGTCTTACTATGTAGGCATTGTAATTGCTTTCTCAGTGACTTAATCTGATTTAGCATTTCTGTGCTGAGGGTGTTCTTACATGCCTTGGGTTCTTGTTTAGAGTTAATGAATAATGAAAACATTCCTAGTGCATGAGTAATAAATTGGTTTGGGTTCCGGTTAGAGAAAGAGGAATATTAGGTAGATAGTCACAGTAGACAGAACTGAGCAAAGTATCCTCATCTGAGAATCATAACTGGGAAATCAGATAGATGTTATGTGGAAGCTGAAGAAGTTTAGGACACTTCATCTTGGACTTGGGATGGGATCCCAGAGAACAAGTAGGGAAAATGCTAGAGCAAATGATATTCTAGCGAGTAACAAGAGGTACCATGAATCAAGGGCTTCCAGACACCTGGTCCGCATTTAAATATCTACCAGCAGATAGTTTATGCCATTGTAAGTTTTTCATAATAGATAAGAACATGAATTTTTAGAATGAAGCATGTTACTCTAGCTGTGAGATATCCTGAGAAAGTTAATTGCCTGACTGGGCTTAAGTTTCCTCATCTTTTTTTTTTTTTTTTTTAAAGGCAAGAGTATAGGGTGATAATAATAGTATTGCCCCACTGGGTTGTCCTAAGAATTGTGTGAGAGTGCAGTGTGTGGCTTGGCTCATAAGAAGAACCCAGTGAATATTGCTTTTGTTGTTATTACCGTCATCATCATCATCATCATTGTGAAATAAATAAATTGGATTTATATATACAAGGAACATGCCCATCCAGAGAGACCAAGTAGATGATTCCTATCAAAAGCACAGAAGACAAAATGAGGATTCCATCAACAGGACCCAGATGCTTTCTTCTCTGTTGTGAATTTCCCATCCCCAGCTCATCTTAGCGAACCACTGATATGCCTCGCTCATAGGTTAAATTATCTAACACTTCATACAACTAGAAAACTACAGTGTGTACTTTTTGGTGTTCTGGTGCTTTTCACTGAAAATGTGAAATTTGTCCATGTTATTTGTATCCAGTTAAAAATGTTTTATAACTTATTCCTATAAGTAGATAGATAGCATTTTCTTACTCATTCATTCATCTCTTGATTGACATTTGAGTTTTTGAATGGTTTCCCAGTTTGTTGTTATTATGTATAGTGACACAGTTCTCATGGGATTCTAGTTAGTTCTCACAGAGATATTATTGAAGAGTAAAACTGGCCTATCTGCACTTTGGCTTCCTGTCACTGTCTGGTCTCTGTCCCTCACATGAGCTGCTGCTGTGATACCAACTGCCAAAAAGCCCTCACCAGAGGATGAATTTTGGACTATCAACCTCCAAAACTGTGAGCCTTTGTCCTTACATATTACCCAGCCTCAGGTATTTTGTAATAGCATTGGAAAACAGACCACTTCAATACTTCAGATTCAACCTCTATAAAACAGTAGTCATTATCTTTTTTTTTTTTTTTCCCTTTTGTACCTGGGATTGGACCCAAGGGCACCTAACCACTGAGTTACATCTTCAGCCCTTTTTGTTTTGAAACAGGGTCTTGCTAAGTTACTGAGGCTGACCTCAGCCTCTTGTTAGACCAGGACGCAAAGAAAAGACCACTGACTCCAATTAAAATCAAATTAAAGCAAGCTTATTATTTCGACCAGCCGGGCTGCCTCTCCCAACAATAATTGCAGGAACAGGACAGCACTGCAGCTTTCTTGCAGCCCAGCTTTATAGCCCAGAAAGTTACACAAAAGGGAAGCAGGTTACAGATAACAAAACTCTGAGGAGCATAACACAAAGGCTAGTTTACATTTTTGCTGGCCCCGATATCAGAATTTATGAAGGTCATTAGAGCCTCAGAGAGGGTCGTTATCCGGCCAGGGAAGGCCAAGATTTATGAGGCATCACTAAAGTTTCAGAGAGAGCTGCTATCTGGTCAGAGAGCCAGGCATGGGTGAGTTCAAGGCACGGGCAGGCATTCCAAGCTAGTTCAGAATTTACAGTAATTTACAGTAAAGCTGAAATTAGCTTTTCATGGCTTTGTGGCAAGATGGTTCCCAATTTTAAGAGGGAATGAGGCTGGGATTACAGGCATGTACCACCAAGCCTGGCTACTACGGTAGTTGCTATCTTTAACCCTTCTAATCTGTGTTCCCTTTTGTCCTCTTTGTCTAGAGGCATGCAACTGATCAGTCACTCAAGTAAGAAATATTATTCTTTTCCTATTTCTTCCTTCCTTCAGTCAATTAGCTGGACTGGTTGCAAACTCTTGACACCATCCTGTTTTACCTTTCATTGTCTCTAATCTAGACCATACAACTACAATACTACAGTGTGTACTTTTTGGTGTTCTGGTGCTTAGCTATATTCTAGTTTCTGAGCACCTTCCACATCCCAGACTTAATGCTAAAAATTAGGAACTAAAAACCTAAATAATACACATTAAAAATGAAATTTCCTTGAAATAATTATTTAATCATCAACAGAAAGAATTTTTTTTTTTTTTAAAGAGAGAGGAGAAGGAGAGAGAGAGAGAGAATTTATTTATTTATTTTTAGTTTTTCGGCGGACACAACATCTTTGTTTGTACTCGAACCCGGGCTGCACGCATGCCAGGCGAGCGTGCTACCGCTTGAGCCACATCCCCAGCCAAACAGAAAGAATTTATAAACAAAACAGCTTTGTTTTTAAAATTGTTCCAGAGCAGTGTTTTAAAACTTAACTATCTATACAATTAGTTGAGGATTTTTTTTTTTTTTTTAACAGGGATTGAACCCAAGGACACTTAACAACTAAGCCACATCCTCAGCCATATATATATATAAAAATTTAGAAACAGGGTCTTGCTCTAAGTTGCCAGGACTGGTTTTGAACTCAAGATCGTCTGGCCTTAGCCTCCCAAGGCACTGGGATTACAGGCATGCGCCACCATGCCTGGTTCAGGTGGGGATCTTAAGTAAATAAATTAAATAAATGGGTTTAGTAAATGTAAGGAAGAGCCCAAAATTCAGCCTTTTTTCTTACCTTCAGGTGTGTGTGTGTGTGTGCGCACGCGCGCGCACATTAAGGCTTGAACCCAGGGCCTAGGCAAGCTAGGCAAGCTCTCTACAGCTGAGCTGTACCCCCAGCCTGCGTCTTCACCATTTCCTTCTTTCTTTTTTTTTTTTTTTTTTTTTTTGGTGTTGAGGACTGAACCCAGGGCCTGTGCACACTAGGCCAGCACTCTGCTACCAAACTACACTCCCTGCCCTGGGCTGATCTTCCCCCTAAACCTATCGTGGCTATCTTTTTTTCCCTCAGTTTAGGCAGTGCTGTTCTTTTAGTTGCTTCTGCCAAAAGTTTTTGTAATCACACTTGTTGCTTCTTTCACAGTTCACATTCCATCTATTAGCAAATCACACTGGCGACATATTTTCTTTTGGACAGTATCAGACATACAACCCAGGGTTGTTCTACCACTGAGCTCCACTCCAACTGTTTTTATTTTGAGAAGGGTCTCACCAGATTGCTGAGGCTGGCCTCAAACTGGCAATCCTTCTGAGATGGCCTCCTGAGTTCCTGGGATTATAGGCCACCATGCCCAGTAAAGAATACTATCTTGAAATACTATCTTGAGTACTTTCTTGAAATACTATCAAGAATACTATCTTGACATTCAAAATTTTAATATTTTGGTTAATGAGTTCTAGAAAAGTAAAAGCTGTTTTGTTATAAATTTTTTTTTTTTTTTAAGAGAGAGGGAGGTGGGGGGGAGAGAGAGAGAGAGAGAGAATTTTTTAATATTTATTTTTTTAGTTCTCGGCGGACACAACATCTTTGTTTGTATGTGGT